CGGCTGCGATTGGAGATGGCTTCATATTTTGGTGTACATGAAGCGTGATGAAAGAGAGCCTGATCTGCTTATCGGGGACATCTTGGGATATCTTTCGCCCTGGTACTAGTATCCATGTCTTCTGCCAGGTCTGCGGGAACCTTACGGATATGTGACTCTGTCGAAGTGTCTTTTTTGCCCTCCCCCTTTACTGTGGGCTTCTACAACTATGCAAGCTATCATTATCCAAAAACATATCGACTCGTTCTAGGAGGAAGTCACGTCCATGGATCAGTTCCGGCAGATCTTACCTCTTTACGGTCTTCCGCGCCCAAAATTGGATCTGTTGCCGATTGGCGTTGAACCGTAGGCGGAAGAGGTTGTCAGCAATCAACTGTAGAGCTGCGCAAATTCCTTAGATTCTCCATTTTTGTTGGTTGCAAGGCACTGCAATAAGAAGGAATTGTATTGTCCGTAGTTTCTGTTAAACAACCAAATCAGCATTTGCACTAATTCGCTTTCGTTTTGTGAAATTGTAGGAACGCTTTATTGCTTCGTTGTTTGAGATGGAATGAATGTAGGCCGATTACATCATCCAGTAACTAAACTGCATTATTTGACCTCTTGAAGTTCTAGCATTCGAACTTGAATTTGTTGATTTTGCCATTATTCTTTTATCATTGATTAATAGTTCGTTATGCAATTGTTCTGCGCTCCATTTGCTTTGCTCACAACGCCACTGAAGCAACGTTTCTGTGCATCCGTACCCCAGAGATGAGGAGAGTGCGCTGCGTACTCCATTTAGACTTGGCGGCAGTGGCACTTGTGGAGAGATATTACAATAACGACTTTGACCAAGTAAACTACGCAGCTATGCCTTCTCCATCATTGGGAATCAACTGGAAAGAGGTGTGCAGAAAATGCTCATGGAAAATCCTTTCAAGCCAAACGAACGAGATTTTATTAGAATGGACAACAGATGGTTGGCTCCGATGCAGATATTAGGTCATCATTATTTGCCAGTGGTTACACAATATTTGGAAAAAAACAGGTTGAGGCTAAGCCCTCTTTCATTTGATGTTCCCTCTCTGGAAATCTGTCTTCTCTGGAGATCGTAGCCCCGCCTACAAGGATGGAGGGTGTGCGAATTCCGAAGCTCAAAAAACGAGAGCATAGCACCCCTCGCTGGATAAGAGATTGAAGCTCCCGTCACTTGGCTGTCTCTACGCTGAGTGTTCACTTCTGACAGAGCCTGATGGTGGTACCGTTGCTCCGCTACTATTTCTTCCCACTTCGAATGGTGAGGGTTAGGTAATAAGGAAGAGGAGCTGGCATCAACAAAAGGGGACTTCGTCCGCACCTGTGTCAAGAAATCCCCATCCTACGAGGGAGACTGAGAAATTTTTTTTATGTTTGGTTTTCTCGTACCAGGCTCAAAAAAGAGATCGTAACACATTACGCATACAAGTCCCAATGTTGATATACCAGTCGGATCGCCCGGCTGACGCCGAGCTCTCCTCCTTCTCTTTAGCTCGGCTTCGCCGAGCTGGCCTGGCTTCGCCAGGCGCGTCTATAATGAGAAACGGAACTCTTCCAATCACCGGCTGCTCATACGGCGCTGTAGTGGTCGAATTATAACAGATACAGCAACCCTGCGGACCATGCACTCCTTAGCAAACGCTTATACTTGCGGTCCGCGCCATAACGCCCATACAATACATAGACCTATAGATATAGATACAAAGTGCGGTCGATCAATACAGCGCTTGATTGTGGGTACTACACTCCCTTATTAATCGTTCTCATCAGTAATTGAAACTTCGAAAGAAAAAAATTATCAATTCGAAATTTTTCAAAATTTTCTGTACTTCCCTGTTTCAGGCACACTACACACCCCCCCGCCCCACCCTCCCCGCTTGTCGCCGTCGACATTATATAGTAGGATAGTGGGATGAGTTCATTTTTTAGTGCTATCAGAGAAGTGATGGCTAAAGGAGAATTTTGCACACTGAGCCTTCAATACTTGGCAGTATAGTGGTAGGAGATGTAATGATAATGGCCCCTTATCCTTTCTTATCAATTGATAAGATTGCCTGTCACCCGTCATCAGTTCCTATTATCACTAAAACTCTATAATTTGGTAGTGTAAAGGCTCCAACACTTTGACTGAACAACAACGGCAACGTTTCAGCTGTTATCACCTGTCACCCGCAGTCGATGTTCTCATCTCCCACTCTATATCGTTTTCTGAAATCAACGCTAGCTGATGCTGTGTCCCGCGTTATGAGTATGGTGACCTTCCCCTTCTCATTCCCCTTATCAAATCTTATCAACTGATATCACTCCCTGCCACCCACCAATCACGTTCCTGTCCCATACCCTATATCGTACCTCGGAACTAACGTCCTGCTATTGTTGTGACCCGCGCTATGGACTCCGTGCCCATCCCCTTCTGACGCCTCTTATCAGGTCTTATCAACTGATATCACCTCCTGCCACACACCAATCACGTTCCTGTCCCATACCCTATGTCGTACCTCGGAACTAACGTCCTGCTATTGTTGTGACCCGCGTTATGGATATGATGACCTCCCCCTTCTAACGCCTCTTATCGGATCTTATCAACTGATATCACTTCCTGTCACCCACCAATAGTGTTCCCGTCACACCGCCTACATCACTTCTTGAAATCAATGTCTCACTGCTACTGGGACCGGCGCTATGAATTTCGTGACACACAGACAGACGCACACACACACACAGACATACTTAGCGAATTATATATAGTAGGATAGCAGAGAGCGATATCACGATCCAAGCAACTTCTTAGTTCGTTGCTGTGACACGGATTACCTTGCAGTTTTGCTAGCAGTTCCTTCTCTTTTCTCTTGCTGCCTGCTCCTACGCTACACACCGCATCGCTGTACCCAGTTTGCCCGATCCAATCCCTCTGCCTCCCTCCCCTGTATGGGCTCAAATCCGACTGAGCACGCGCAAGGGAGTGAGAATAGGAGAAGAGGTCGGTACCCACTCTCACCTTCCTCACCTCATCCCATTCCGTACTCGCCACTCCCTTGCCCCTTGCACGCGCTCACGTGCAACTACCACACGAGCAACCCGTGCAATGGCTCGGAGTGTGGTGGTCCTCTTATATAGTGGAAAGTGTTATTATGACCAAAACAACTTTTCAATTCGTAACGGTAACATGGATTAGCCTGCGGTTTTCTTATCGGTTGTTTCCTCCTCCTTTGCTGCGCGTTTCTACTCAAGCGCGCGCTACGCACCCCTCCCTGCACCCCCTTCGGGGCCCCTCCCCTCTGCCTCCCTCCCATACACGTGCTCAGCTCCGGCTGAGCACGTGCAGGAGAGGGAGGCAGGGCGACCCGGCACCCCCACCCTGCCCCCGCACGAGCACACGTCCAGCTGCCACGCCAGCAGCTCGTGCAATGGCTCGGAGTGTACCGAATGGTTGTCTTATATAGCGGAGGCTGTTATCACAATCAAATCATTGGATTGCTACATCCTCCCAGTCGGTTACCGGTTTGCCTAGCGGTCGTTTTCTCCTCCAGCGAACTCGAACCCGTGAAGTATTTTGCGGACGGACAGACAATACATACATACCTACAAACCTACATACATACAAACATACAAACCGACACACAAAGTTACTGGTTTATAGAAGTGAAAGGATTAGTTACAATTCATCGATAACAGCCAGCAAAACACCAACCTATCGTCCGCTCTCAAGAGAGCTAGACTCACCGTACCTTGATAACCTTTTGGAAATACGGTGTCTGAACTGAGCATGTGACCAAATGGCAGGTATGGCTTTTGTTAACTTCAAATACGCGCTGCCCGCCCTGAAGGTGAAGCTCTTGGCACGTAAATTAGTCTTGGGTTTCGACAAATAGATTTTTTCATTCAATATTTCATTAATTCAATATTTCAATAGGGTATTTCATCTCTAATGCAGAATTCCAAATTAGAAGAAAACGCCATGACCTATGGACTAACCCAGTGGATGCGATGTTTCCCGCACATGATTCATAAAAGGTGCCAAACAATGATTTTGCATTGTCGCTCAAGATGACTACAAAAGTAAGCAAAAAGTAATACAATCACCACCGTATATGATTTGCTTCGTCTGTCAGTTTGTTGGCGTGTTTTTTTGTTTGTTTTGTGTCGGTCCGAAATCGGTGCGATCTGAAGAACAACCCACAGAGGCTGGGTCAAGGTTGGGATGGGTAGGGCATGGGTTGAGATGTAAAGAGCCTAATGATCTGTGTGAAGCCTTGCCCACAGGGGGTGGGCCATGCGCCGCCGCAGAGTAAATTCATAATTCGCTTCCAGAGCAGCCCATATATGGGCAAAAAGTGGAAGAGGCTCGGCAAGAAGTCGTCAGACTAATCAGGGGAGACGCACCCGAAATTGGCAGGGCGCACTTGAGATGAGCGTGCTTAATTAGAAATCACGCAACTTGTTTCTGAGAGAGTCTAGAAATTGCGAAGAGTTTAGTGCAGACGGCCAACAACTGGCGAGAGTCGAGTGTGCCTGCAGTGTGTTGAGATTCGTTAACAGTGGGCGGAGAAGTTGATCAGATGGAATGATTACGAAATTTCGTGTTTACGATGGCAAGACTAATGGGCTTCTGCAGAATCCGGGTCGCCATTGACGTAACGTGTTCCATACCGGAGACCACTATAATGACTGTAACCGCCTTTAGTGTGTCAGCTGCCCATTATGGTCACCAGCGACAATGATAGGGTCTTCTGACGAGATCTCACCTGTCTTTCCCTTCAGCAGAGGCCAGAACTCGTCCTTTAATTGCACAGTGCATTCTGTTTGACAAGCAGGCGCAGAAAAGCAGTGGCACAGCCGTTGCTCAGCACCTAAAACGATCTTCATCAAGCGGTCCTCGGAAGGTCCCACGCCAACTATCAAATCACGGTAACGTTGAGAGACGATTACAGCCACACCGTTCGTAGTCTTCGACTTGCCACAAGGAATGGCTCCGAGGGCGCGGTCAGTGTCTCTCGTCTCACTAGGGAGAGCATCTTGTTTCCTGTAGCGCACAGAGGTCATTCTTCTGCTTCTGCTCTCCAGTGAACCTGCCTGTTCACATGAGCGTCCCGTCAAGTCCCCACATTTGTCGTTGCGACACTTCAGGATTTCCATGTGCGCTGGAGGACTTTTGGAGTAGCTTAGTTGCCCCCAGTTACGTCGTTTCGTTTCTAGCTTACTTTCCGCCCTTTCCACACTCTCATTGGTCGCGAAAATTGCAGCAAAGTCAAACATATGTACGTGGTTCTGTCCACCTCTCAATGAACCTCGGCATAACCGTTGAATATTTATTCATCTTGAAACTTCACA